TTGGCATATAGCGACGGCTTTTATCCAGTACTCCATTCTTCAAATAAAATCAGAATTCTTCCACCACTTTAGACTTTAAACTTGCCGGAGCGTTGTGAATCCTGCCCGAGTCAGCACATTTTTTAAACTTTCCTCCCACAAACTCCACAGCGCTATCTGACGTAACTGGCGACAAGTCTCGCCAGAGTTTTAAGGGAGGGAGCCCGAGAGACGGTCAGAGAGAGATGCAGTTTTCAGCAGGCATAAAACCGATTTATAACTTTTTAATCGGGCCAGTCGGCCCGGTTCAAGCTACATTAAGACCGATTTATTAGTCCGTGTACCGATGCCACTCGCCATCTTTTTAGATCAAGAAAATCGATTTTCCGATTCAAATCGTTTTTTCTTACACCCCTAGTCAATGGCTTTGTATGAGATGTTCACAATCACAAATGAGTGTTATGTTCAGGTTTTCCCTTTCATTGTTCATTTGTCCACTTACTACTACTGTCAGAGTTACTATCATTTTCTATTTTTCATAACTTTTATTTTCATTTCCTTTTTCTTTTAACTTTTGTTTTCAATTCACTTTCATTCCAGTTAGGTTCCAGAGAGGCTTTGCTTGTTTCAGTTTTTTTTAATAAGAATATGTGGGGTATTTGTCAGGAGCAAGATTCAACAAGTTCAGAATAGGTATTAGCCTACAAAATGAACACTTTGTGATGGTAATTGACTCACTTTTCTAAAGTCTAGTTTTTCTTTGTATTTCAGTTAACTAACATGTTCTTTCACACCTCCGTTTTTAGTTCAGATTTATTTAACTATAATTACCTTTACTGACCTTTACTGGCCTATGGATGTGAACAAAATCCAAAAGAGAACTTCCATCAATACAGTGACATGAAAATGGCATTTATATAAAGTGGTAGTTACCACATTAATAAAATGGGCTGTGAAATACCCGCATAGCTGTCTTAGATGCATTGCAAACGCTTAAAAAAAGATAGAATGTGGCTAGGATGCAAGAGTTACTTCTTTTCTGTTGTACTGATTCAGATGAACTTGATTAACTTACACGATGTGAAGTGGAGAGCTGGTGGATCTAGCATCAAGACAGGCTGCTGACACGCATTCCAATGTTCCCAAGTCTTGCAAAATCAATTAGGCTGATTGGTCGCAGTAAAGATCATTTGTGCCATTGAACACTGAAGTATTTTCCTCCCATAACCGATTTAGCGTTGTGTTAACAGCTGTTGCGAGGAATGTGTGTGGGAGAAAATGTTTAGAATGTGCATGATCATCACATTGACATATTTTGCTCCTGGTATGTTGTTGACAAGCGGAAGTGAACAAAAAATCTAGTCATGGAGCCATGAGGAGACAGCGTGACATGCTATTAGTCCCAACGCTGATACTGTTCTAAGGTCAGATCACCAAAACAATGTGTCCACATGAGAGCACAACACTGAACAATAGATTAAACCCTCATTCACCATTGTATGACAAAAGTAGGTCCATTTGACTGTTCAGCTGCTCCTACTGGCGGCGACAGATAGACAGAGAGGGGAAGGATGTGCCTGCAGAGACAAGGAAGACACTCTTCAACAACATGCATTTTAAAATCCAGATTTGTGATCTCTTACTGAACCTTTCACCTGTACATTTAGTCACAATTCGTGTCCTGTTTCGCAGTTATTTCTAACAGACCGCGACCACCATCTCATGACCATTTTGATTCACTTATTTCGATCATTGCGATGCTAACAGGCTTGCAACAGCTCATAAAAATGGTTGCATGTGTTCTGTTTCTTGAGATTTTTTTCTTTTTTAAATATCAACATTTGCTATATGAAAACATGTTGCTTATGTAATCATTCATAATGGTGATAGGTTTTACTGAAACTCCAGGTGTTAAATCAGATTGGGATTTAAAACGTGTAACCGTGGGCATCTTTAGTAATACTAAAACCAAAGGAGACTGACTCAGAAACTTCCCTGCTGACTGGAGACATACTCAAAAGTGAAACTGTCACAGTGGAGTGCATTACCTCATGCCATGAACTGAGATCAGATGGAACTTGAACTGAAACCATCAGGTGATTCAACGGTTAGTTGATCAACAGAAAATGAATCTGCACTGTTTTTGATCATTGATTTTTCATTTATGAGATTTTAAAGCCAAGAAAAAAAGAGAAGCTGATGATTCTCTTAGTCTTCAGTGAGAGTAAATGTACAATTCTTGGGTTACAAATACATTTCTGACATGTTATAGTCTAAATTAATCTAGAAAACAATCTACAGAACAAGGTATAAGTCAACCTGGATGCTGTGTAAGTAGATTGCTACAGTTGACAGAGTTAATAGACCTAGATCTAAAACTATTCATTCAGTTCTATTACAGATTTGTAATGTTTTACACCAACTTCTATGTGTACTTATACTCAAGCCTGTAGAGGGGCAAGCTGTACCTGCCACTGCTGTAATAATTAACAATTAATTAGTCTTCTTAGTCATTCTTGCCTTATTAAGATATCCTGAGTTTGGTAGATATTCCTCAACCTTGACTGAATACTCATCATAAGAACAGAAGTAACACATCACACATACAGTGACAGACACACAGATGCCATAGAGAAACGGATTTCATGTAAAACATGTTCATGTTTAATTTTGATACCTTGTCAGTGTGGTTTTATACTTTAGCACTATAAAAACACTAGATTCAGTTGAACTCAATTGCTTTCATTGCTGGGGGTCCTCTGAAGGGGCGGGGACAATTAGGGAGTCAGGGGTGATTGGCCAGAGCTGGCTAGACTTGCCCTTAGACTGCACAGCGATTGGTCAGACCTCAGCAGGTCCCGCCCACGGGTGGCGCCTTGAACCTGCTGTATGTTGAAGCGTTGCGTTCAACCAGTGTTGAGTTTAGAGGGTCTCTCTCTACCGGGGTGATAAGTCTGACCACAGGAGCAACCGACGGGAAGTAGCTGCCGTTTGAAGAGAAAAGAAATACACTTTTCATCGTTTCACCGCTGGATACGTAACTCACCCTGGGGTTGGATTAACTTCAAAACCACTCTTTTTTAGTTTTTCTTTTTAATTTGCTTTACAAGACACATTAACTCACCGAAGACAATGGGATCCCAGTCATCCAAGGGAGATGTGGCCGCGGAGGGAAACGCTGCTGCCGCCGATGCTGCGGCTGTCAAAACCAACGGACAGGTAATTTCACACAGCCCGCCCGCTGTTCCTCTTTATCTCTCACTATACAATGAGTGGACGTTGATACAAGTTGAATTTCTCACACGAAAACAGTAGTTTGACAACATTTAGTCGACGGCGAATGGGTAAAACTTGAACGTGAGGACATTTTTGGGGCAAGTCAGGTGGGGCTTTTAGCATCGGTGTCTGCTGCTGAGGGGTTGGTCACAGAGCCCCCCCCCCCCAAAAAAAAAAAAAACAACAACAAAAAACTACAAAATGAGCTGTTGTTGTTGTTATTTATCTCGGTTGACGAGGTGAGTTCAAACATAAAGCAAGTGTGTGTTTGTCACTGAGGTCTAACCCGAAATCCGCACAACGTGTTTGACAGTGGCAGGCTCAAAGGGGGAGGGGGGCAGCTCGAGCGCACGTAGGCAGTCTACTACTCCTCCCTTTGTAAAACACGAGCTGTCGTCTGGACACCTATTTTACAAACCGGGACTTTCCTGTATTTGATATAAGCAGGATGAGTCATATTCATACATGAGATACTTTCGACTCTTATTGGATTATCATGAATGAAAATCAATATTATATGTTAATTACACTTATTAAGTGACAAAAAAAATGACATTACTTTCGTATTTATTGTATTAAATGAGCAATTACATTTTTAGACTGTTGTTTGGGTGAAAAAAAAACAAAAAAACCCCGTCAACTGGAAGTGTTTTCATTCTTCCATCGATGATCTCCAGTCTTTGTTGAGCCGACGTCTGTCTGGTACCCAAGGCGGTGTGCGATGCGCTACCGCCGCCTATCGCCTGATTAGGATACTGCAAGGCGTCGCCTCTGAGCCGGCGACACGGTGGTTAATTGATGAGCACGACGATGCTCTGAAAAGAAACGAGTGATGCACATTTAAAATATGCCCCCTTTGTGTTTCATAATGTGCAGAGAGTTTATGTAAAAAAAAAACATGATTTTCTGCTTCAGAATTTGAAGCTTTAGAAGCAGATGACTTATTTTGTGCCAACCTGTTTTTTCAGGAGAATGGACATGTGAAAACCAATGGTGATGTCTCTACAAAGCCCGATGGGGACGCTGCCGCCACCAACGGCTCGGCTGAGGCAGCCAAGGAGCCTGAAGCCGGTGCAGGAGGCGACGCTATTGAGCCGGCGCCTGCTGCAGATGGAGAAGCAGCCAAACCTGAGGGCGAGGCTGCTGCCAAGGAGACCCCCAAGAAGAAGAAGAAGAAGTTCTCCCTGAAGAAGTCCTTCAACTTCAAACTGAATCTGAAGAAGAGCAAGAAGAGCGAGGCTGTCAAAGAGGAAGCGGCGGCCGCCGCTGCCCCTGCTGAGGAGAAGCCCGCCGAGAACGGAGCTGCTGCTCCTGCAGAGGAAGAGAAGAAGGAGGAGGTGAAGGAGGAGGCCGTCGCTGCGGCTGAAGCCCCAAAGGCAGAGGAGGTGCCGGCTAAAGAGGAGGCCCCCAAGGAGGAGGCCAAGGAGGCAGCTGCTCCGGCCCCCGAGGCCACGAAACCAACAGAGGAGAGCAGCTCGACCCCCGCTCCCTCTGAAAAGAAAGAGTGATTGTACCTTTAGCTCACAATGAACTGGGTGAACTGTTTTTCAAGAAAGAGAGAGAAAATTTAAGAGTATATATATATATTTATATATATATGTGTATATGTATACATATGTATATGGATATATGTATATGTAAATATATACACATGTATGTGAGAGACTCCTTTGACGTGCCACTTTTCGTCATGATAACAAGACGACAGACTAGATTCACTAGATCACTTCCCTGGTTACTGCTTGACGTGTGGACCTGGACTGAGTTTTAGGCTGTGGGTTGGTCGCTATGTGGAAAATGGATTTTAATGGCTAGAACGCGAGCTAATGACACCATGAAGTATAGACGGATGAAGGATGGATGGAGTCAAAGCATCGCTTCCCTAAAAATGTGCAGATCAAGATGCCTCCTTGCCGAAGGAATGAAGCTAGATAAGATACTAGGACACCACCACCACTTGAAATGACTGTTGAATATAGAAAAAAAAAAGAAATCAGAAAATTAAGAGACTCGCCAACTTTTTACATTACTATATTTTAACCCAAATTTGAAGTATTTTGTGGTGTATAATAGAGAACCATCTTAAAGATTCAGAGAAGCTATTACTTGTTTGTTTAAAGAAAAAAAAAAATAGACAACTTTGATTTTTACCTTACTATGAAAAAAGAACACTTAAGCTTGCTATGTTCACTGTTGCGGTTTGATATGAAGCAGAGTTGTTTATCTGTCGTGTGTGAGCCTGAATCAGCTTTGTCTCTGTAAATACATTGGATTGATTTCTGTTCTTTATTTTGCTAATGTTGACAGATGTTACTGGTTTTACTGTAAAGTTGATAATGGTAAATAAATGTTGGTTACCTGCCCATTGATGTGTCTTTATGCTTATTTGCATCATACATTACAATTCAATATCAATTTTATCACTCAGATTTATCCAATCATTGCAACAATTGGGGGAGAAAAAGGGGGGCTAGTGACAGCAGAGGAGTAGCAGGGAGGGGGGAGAGAGGGAGGGGATGATGCACAGCAAAGGGCCATAGGTTGGAACCAATGTACCAGGGCCTCATGGGGCACCAGTTCTACCAGGTAAGCTATCTGGGCTGATGTTCCATCAGTAGAAGTATAAAGAGAAAGCCACACCATTTCCCTCCATGTTTGGTCTCAAACCCCAATTTAAAACAGGACTGTGGCTCTTCCGAAACATGAAATAACACATTCTTATTTTTACAAATTAAAGGTTGAATTCAAAATCCATAAAATACGCCCTTTCTCAGTTGAGCACGCTCCTGGGGGTTTTTACTGATTCAGTCTGTCTTGGTCTGGTATGACCAGTAGCTTATGGTGGCTAATCATAGCAAACTTTAGCTAGATTTTGTTATTTAACTGACATTACGGAGGTCAGTTGTCTACTTGTGGGACTGTCACTCTACATTTGAGCATTTACTGCTATCGCATAATGGTAGCTGTTATTCAGCACACGTTACATAGTTTTGCTTTAATATATGCCTGTCATCTTAACAAGAGATGTGATATTAGCAAATAATTGACCCCCAGCTGGCTACAGTACATGGTAGGACAGCTGTATATTCCAGTGGGGATAATAAAAGGTATTAATGCTTTACTGATACCAGCTGCAAGCCAGCAAATTGGAATAGGCTAAATTTTGAAGTCAATAAAGTTTTATTGCACTCATACTTGTAATTATTAGCTCTTGTTGGATTGGCACTCACTTTGGCCCTGCTTTGAAATGGTAAAATAAATAAATTAATCATATTACATATTATTTTGACAGATATTACAATTATGATATGATTCACGATTAGTGGGAATGCTTTTTTGTGCATCACAATTCTCATTTTCACTGAAAAAACAATTCAAATCATTATGATGTGACATTTGTTGTAGTCTGTAACAAACAAACATGTTCTTCTTACATCTGGAGAACACGACTTGTAGGCCAGAGCCTCTCTGCAGCACTACAGCACTCAGGACTATCGTAGCACTCGCTATTTGGTTATTGCACTTGATCATATTGCAATTTTGATCAAATTTAGATGAACTGTTCAGCCGTACTAAAAGAGGAAAAAACATTTGCAACAAAAACAATGATCCACCACAGACTATAAAGGCAAAAGCCCAGTATTTTAACTGACTTGAGATTATGTGTCAAATGATTCCATGTGACACTCCTTACAGATGTCTCATTCTGTGATTCTCCATGAAACGCCTGCATGTTTGTAGCTGATTGGTCAGGAGGTAATTGAACACACCACCACTATCATGTTGTCTTCAGTGACCCCTGGCCCTCTATTAGTCTTATGGCCCTGAGATCAGCACCATTACCTCTGCTACCCCCTCCCTCAGCCTTCACATCTACAGTATTCCTCCCATCGGAAAGAGGCGAGTGTCCTCGTGAACGTGGCGAGCTGAACACAGCAGTCCTGCTCTGGCTGAACTGACCTAGTTCACATGGTGAAATGATGGAGTTGAGATCAAAGCTACATTTGGACCCAGCCTTCAAACATTTATGAATTATTTAAACAAAGCTGCAGCTCCACGTTGATACAGCTCTCTGCCTCTCGGAGCAGTCGGTTAGTTAACCAATCAGCACCTTTATTTTATAATAAGAGTCTTTAAATACCAAGTGAAATCACAAGGACTCATACGTAAACGGTGTAAATCTTCTACACGTCTTTACACCGTGCGCTGGCAGCAGGTACAGTAAGCTGTAAATAATGAATGGCTGCTCCACAAGGGGTTCCTTTGCTTTGGTATACCAGTGCTGTTTACTCCATATAGCGTTGTTTTGTTTGCACTGCATAGTACTATACATGAGATTCTGTGACTGATCAGCTCAGGGGTGCAGCATTTCTCATTCAGCAGTGACAGGGTCTGCAGAGATTTGGAGGCTACAGTCAAACACAAGTGAGCTTACACTGACACCTGCTGGCCATTACGTGGAATGCCATGAAGCTGGTCGCCTATTGTCCTGTTTCCCAATCTGTTCCAGTACTTGTTAATAAGCTAATGAAATACATGACCTACATTAGATACATCTGGCCAGGGACAAATGATGAAATGTGTCCCTGTCAAATAAACTAATGAGATCATTAATGTAGAAATATTTTGTCAAAAAAAAAAAACACACTAAGAAAAGAATGTGGTATTTTGTGCTTTAAAAGGTCTACACCTGAAGTGGACATGGCTTCTTGTTGTTCTGTTGCAGTTATTATAAGTTATATATTTAAGAAACAATGGAGGCAAACAGCATAAGTAGTTGGGCAGCTTAAAGATTTTAATTACCAATACAAGTTCCAAGCTTAGATACATGTATATCAGAATCAGAATATCACAATAGAAAAAATATAAATAAAGATAAGAAGATAAAAAAAAATAGAGGCAATGAAAAGGAGCCACTATAAACTAATATAATATAAAGAGTGAGAGAATATGTAAAAAAAAAACCCATCCAAACCCACTATATTAACCTTTTAAGGCTGACATAAAGGTTTATGACATAAGATATTTATTTAAGGTATGACAAAATGTAAACTGAGGCAGGCCACTGATCACTAAATCAATAATAAAATGAAAAAATAAATAAATAAAAAGGTTAATTAATAAAATGGTGGTGTTACTGATGTGGTAGCAGAGTAGAATTACAGGATGGACCTGCAGCATTCACAAGCAGTGGAAGTGGGGTCTTCTAAGAACCTTGCTTTTATACCAATGACAGTATATATAGAAGTTTAATACCCCCATGTCCTTACACATCTCTAACCACAGTCACTGAACCGTTGTTACCTCCCAGCAGAGGGAGGGAAGACAAAATAAGTTGCTTATATATGCCATCAACTGATTGTGTGAATACCTGAAGATCAGTTTGTGGACATTACAGAGTTACCTGCAGCTATTCCACTCACCTCTAGCAGCACCTGTCTAGACACTGTCTGGTAGTAGCCGCAACCTCGGCGGTCCTTGGTTTGTAATACCGGCGCCTCCCAGTCGGGCGGTGGAGCTTCTGTGATTGGTTGAGGAGAGCTCGACGCGAGCTCCCTGCTGCAAAAGAGGAACCGGTGGGCACGAAACAGTGTTGAATTGGTGTAAAATGGCGCTGTCTCAAGGAACAAAGAAAAAAGTTTGCTATTACTATGACGGTAAATATACAACTTGTGCACCCCCGTTTCGCAGTGGTTGAGGGGCCCTCACGGCGCGCGGAGCTTCAGACCGTTTCACATGTATTTTATTAAAGCAGCACCATGTTAGCCAGCTAGCCGGTGTAGCGTGCTAACGCTAGCTCGCTCGCTGGATTGGCTAACTAGCCTAGCCTGTGTTAGCTCTATGGTATGCTTAGCTAGCTGGTAGCTTGAAGCTGCATGCATTGTGTCGTCCAGTGTTCTTCTCAGTTTGAGGGTTTCAAATAACCAGACACGTTTCGTTCTTGTATTAAGACATTTTATTGAATGGGGCTTTGTGTCATTGTGGGAACATAAAGGAGCATGAAGCTAATCACATCAGTGTTCCCCAACTTGATACCAACTTCCGAGAAGTGGGGACCCGTGCTCCCTGCCAGTTTGACTATTTATCGACACATCTTCCTGCAAATAAGTGACGTTTAATTGTAGTGCTTTACCCTTTTCTGTTATGCATACATACATACTTAAAAAATGCTACATATGAAAGTGAAATTACAAGTTGGGCGAGTTAGCTGCGTAAACGCTTTTATTAAATGTGTTTTCTGTCGGTACTACTAATGTCTTTAATGTAATATATGCTGTCGAACATATAGGTCAGGTAGCATATAATAAATAAAGATACAGTCCTGGCAAGTTGATCATCTCTGTCAGTCTTCATCGTGGAAACTTGAATTTTGTAATGTGAACTTATTCAAAATCGTTTCTTTCCAAGGGGATGTGGGGAACTACTACTATGGCCAGGGTCATCCCATGAAACCCCACAGGATCCGCATGACACACAACCTCCTTCTCAACTATGGACTGTACAGGAAAATGGAGATCTATGTGAGTTGTATGAGCCCGCACAAACACCCAACACCCATCCATACGTCCATGTGTCGTTAAGCTTCCTCAAGAGAAAATGACACCATGAGAGAGTCTTAAAGTAATCCACTGGACTGTGGTCAGTGTGCTCTACAACTTCCAAAATAAGCACTTAATTGGCAACGGTAATGGACATGGTAGTTATTGGTTAGTAATCAGAAATGGTACACACATTCACCATGAATCATTCCATACAGGAAAGTCTGTGTGTGATAAAGCTCAGTTTGGGGTCTAATTAGTACAGTCTTATAATAATGCAATGTAATTACAAATGAACATAAATTCAAAGTGTTGGCCGTTTGTTCATTTCTGACTGTCATAGAACTATTTTTCATATTTGCTTGGCTCGACCTGACCAGCAAACATTTAAATGAATTGGTGTTAGAGTATTCAGGTAGCCTTTACATATGTAAGTGGATGAAACTTACCAGTCCAAGACAGTAAGGATAACAATCAGGCTGTGTTCAGACGGACTAAAAAGTGTCTTTTGTAACTTTCTTCCTCGTGACCTTCCCGTCTGTTTCCAGAGACCACACAAAGCCAGCGGCGAAGAGATGACAAAATACCACAGTGACGACTACATTAAGTTCCTGAGGTCCATCCGACCAGACAACATGTCTGAGTATAGCAAACAGATGCAGAGATGTGAGTATCCGCCATCTTCCAGTGGAGGCTGAATTATTCTTCCTGTCCACATGTGTTCAATCTGTTCTTCCTTTTCTCACAGTCAACGTCGGAGAGGATTGTCCAGTGTTTGATGGTCTTTTTGAGTTCTGCCAGCTCTCAACGGGTGGATCTGTCGGTA